ACCTTAATTTGCTTCCATTTTTCAGAAGCGATCAGGATAGCTATAGCGGCCGGATGTGACGACGCAAATATGCAGAATGTGGTCGGACGAACGGCATTGCATGAAGTCGCTGCTTTGGGAGATCCGAATCTGCTGAAAATTATGTTCAAATTGCACGCAGATGCCAACGTACTCGACAAGGTTCTCATGATTTTTTTTTGCAAAGTGGTGTGCAGCATAAAAAAATTAGATAAAACAATGGCTCAACAGTAGCAGGGTCACCCCTCTGCTTCTGACAATTGGAGCTATGTTGTTGAGGGGGCCAAGCCGTCTTATGATCCCAAATGACCCAAATTTTCGTTGATAGAACTGAAATTCTGTATGATTAAGGGATATTTTCGATATACATTTGAGGACGATAAAACGCCTGTGCATGTAGCTGCTGAGCGAGGATACACGTCCATCGTTGAGCAGTTGATCGACAAATTTGGTGGTTCCATCAGAGCTCGAACCAGAGATGGCTCCACACTTCTTCACATTGCTGCGTGCTCGGGTCACACGAGCACAGCTCTCGCTTTCCTGAAAAGAGGTATGTTAATTACTGATTATTATCAAGGATGCGGATTCCATCCATGTTTATAACAGAGATCTTACGGAGTTCAAAGTAGGAGTAGGTTGTTGGATTATTCTTTCCTACGGCCGGCACGGCCGTGTCTTGAAACCTACCCTGACCCAGGGTCCCATTTTGCGAACTTTTGAAGGATTTTCGTGGTCCTTTTTTTTTTGATAGCCTGCCACACCTGCTCCAACACTTCAGTATTCGCGATATCCCAATTTTGGAGCTCACTCTCTGAATTATCCTCAATATCGTAGTTCATGAAAGCCTCATCGAACCACAAACGTGTAGGAAGCGACGTAAAGGGATATTCTTGTTGCTTATATTTGCCGACGGTTTCAAGAGTTTCTGAGCTTCTTACAGCCACTTTCCGCTGCTCTTCCTCTACCTTCCCCTACTGAATCATAGTACCTCCTACGGGAAATGTGAATTGTCTCCCCTGCAGTTCCAACAATTCTCCCCATTGCATTCAAAGCTCTTGAACTATCTAGTTAAGTAACTAGTTTTACTTTCTTAATCGTGCTAATTCTGCTAATGATGTTCCTATGATTGGTTTGCAGGTGTACCGCTGTTCATGCCAAATAAAAAGGGAGCCTTAGGCTTGCATTCGGCTGCTGCTGCTGGTTTCAATGAAGTTGTCAAAATGCTCATAGCACGAGGCACGAACGTCGATATTCGAACAAAGGTGTGTCGTTCAGTTCGCATTCGACAATTGTAAAATGCATGATTTTCATATATTCATCTGCTACTGAATGTACTCCGGATGGCGCAGAATAGAAAAAACTGTGGAGACATTTGCATTAAATTTTCCTGGGGAGCGCTACTGTAGTTTGAGGACCTCACAACCGAAGCGGCACAACCTCCCGTAAACCATTGCCATTATACAGTGAACTGTACTCGTAGACTCTAACTAAGACTACAAAAGAACATTTTCTGGAGGGGTGACGCGTTGCGCACAATCACACGCACGTTCGCGCACTGACTTCTGATACTCATTCAGACCGATTAAGCCTTCCATCCTTGCGGGGTTGGGCTCTTCTGGGACGATAGATACACTGACTTGTACATCGGTGAACTACACAAGCCATTTTAGCAATTCTATCGGTCATATATGCATTTCATGAGTACTCCGAATGGAGGTCGGATGCTTAAACGTATCTTGAAAAAGGGAAATATTGAAACTGGACGATGTCATGTTCTATACCAGGACAACTACACTGCCCTGCACGTTGCTGTCCAGTCAGGGAAGGCATCGGTGGTCGAAACATTGCTGGGCTCAGGAGCTGACATTCATGTGAGGGGAGGAGAACTAGGACAAACTGCACTTCACATCGGTAAGCTTCTTATTTGTGAAAGACCCCCACATTTTTTCGAAATGTCCCCCTGATCCATTCTGAAACATATTCCTATTTCAGCCGCTTCACTGAGTGGACCAGAATCGCGTGAATGCGCTATGATGCTTCTGAAGTCCGGTGGACAGCCTGACGTCGCTCAGGAAGACGGCGAAACCTGCTTGCACCTGGCAGCTCGCAATGGCAATAAGGAGATAATGAGGTGAATGGTGAACTTCTCTATCGCTGAAATAGCCTTATCGATGCATCAACAGTCCCTCATTCTTCTTCGTGAATCCCCTTCACTGAACTCGGTCCTTTCTAAATGACTGGAAAGCGCTTCATCGGAAAAAGATTCTGAGCTCAAGTCGATGCTCCATGAGCTCAGATTCATCTTCGTACAGGTTGTTGCTCAACGAGAATGCGAATCTACAATTGATGTCGAATAGCGG